ATATATATGTATATATATCACTAAAATCGATTTATTGCGAATCTTTAGATATAAACTAATAATTGCATCTTGTTTCTCTATTTTATTCGAGTATTCAAATTATAGATTTTTTTTTTTTCCTTTTTTTCTTTTCTTTTATTATTATTATTATTTCTTCTTAAGACAGCTCTAATATTTGTGCTGCCTAAAATTAATTATTTTTATAATATCATTTTTTCTTTGATAGATAAACTTATTGTAAAGAAAAAAACGCGGTTAGAATTTAAATTTAAGTTTGTTTTTTTTTTTTCTTAAATATTACTTTTTTTTTTTAGTAATAGATCCTTTACTTTATCGTATCTTTTAAAAAAAGAGAAGAAGAAAGTAGATGTGGAAAAAGGTAAAGAATAGTCAAAGGACAGTGGATAAAGAAAATAAGAGACAGAAAGATACGACATAGAAATAAACGAATCTTTAGTGAAAATGGGTGGGTGGATGTGAACAGAAAATTGTTGTATATGTGTATGTAAATATGTATAATTGTGTTTTTTTTTTGTGTAGTTTTGAAGAGAAATTAACACTTAGCCGACCACTCGGGTAGATCTACCCTTTTCCAAACTAGTCGGTTGCCAACCGCTCGGCGGGTAGATCAACCCTTTTCATCTGAGGAACGTTTCTTTCATTATAAAGCTTATTTATATAGGGTACAACATATATAATAATAAAATGCACCAATTTTGTAAAATTTTTCATTGCTCATTATTACAGCTCTTTATTTTCGAGATTTCCAAAGTAGTCTTTGCCAGTCATCAAATTATTTTCTAGAAAGAACACTACTTCAGAAAAATGCGTAGCGGTGGAGAGCGCAGTTTGGGCTTTCCCAAAGGGCGGTGGAAACTGTAGAGGTCTCTGTGGGGCGTTCGGTCGGCTAAGTGTGTTAAGAGAAGTGGTATTGATACAATAATAGTACTTAACTATTATTATACTAGATCTCTCAATTGCAATTTATTTTTCTTCTTGTTTCTTATCTTTGAAAATATTTAAAGAAACTTCATTCGATATACTTTGTAGTATGGTTGAATTGAATTGGTTTATTTGTATTTGTCCTTTGTATTTGTGTTTGTGTGTGCGTGTATGTTTGTCATTACTATTTTTGGTATTATTTATAATATATTATTTGTATAATACATATACGTATATATGGGTGTTCGTATACGTATGCATGTACGTACGTACGTATATAACCATTCATATATGTATATATGTACAATATTTCATCTCTTTCTTTCTTTTTTTTTTCTTTTTTTTTTTATACTTCGGTAGTATAATTGCCTAATAATGCGCGGTATGTGATGTAGTAGTAATCATTGCAATAGTAGCACTGTTAACAATAATAATAATCATTTATTACATATTTATTTAAACTTCTTATTATTTGTTTGTTTTTTTTTTGTTTTCTCTCTTTCTTTCTTTCTTTCTTTCTTTCTTAGATTTGTTTCTTAGTATTATAGTACATCGCGTTTTATTCTTCACCCACGTAAAAAGATACTTCCCCTCTTGCGTATCACTTAATATTTGTTTGTTTTTTTTTTTTTTTAGTTTTTATTTTTTTTTATTTTCTCTCTTTCTTTTATTTAGTTTTTTTTTTCTTTATTTATTTCATTCCATCAATATATCATCGTAGCCGCGGTGACCCAAAGGACTCTCAACAAGTTAACACGGTCTTTGGGACACTTTAAGCTTTTATTTATTTATCTTTATTTATTTATTTATTTATTTTTGTTAATATTTTTTTTTTTTTTTTTTTTTTAATAGAACCACTAGTTTATTCATAATTTCTTCCCGTCTTTCTTTCGTTTTGTTTCATTTATTTATTTATTTATTTATTTCTTTCTTTCTTTCTTTTTTTCTTTTTATATATCAGATTTTTTCCTTTTAAAACACATTTATCGCATTTCAATGCGTCCACGGGATATAAACACGATACTCCGTGTTAAACGTCTCACTAACAGGACGGCCCCTTCCGACATTTTTCCGAATAATTGTGTGACCTTTTTTTCTTTCTTTTTTGTTTGTTTGTTTGAATCAATTATGTTTCTTTTTTTTTCTTCTTTTTTTTTTCTTCTTCTTCTTCTTTAATTTTAACGATTCGAATTCACAACCCGGCGTTTCCTAACGATACCACTACGAAAAACTGTCGAAGCTGCGACCTAATTTGAAGACAGGAAAGCATGGGAAGGAAAGGTGATTAAAAGGAGAATAGGAGAGGGTAGTTTAGGAATATAAGAGGGGTATATAGAAATTTCTCTCTCTCTCTCTCTCTTTCTCTCTTTCTCTTTCTCTCTATTTCTCTGAGAAATTATGCTAAAGAAGCAAGCTCCACAAAACGTAAGGCTTCTTATCGGTCTTGAAATTCGAAAATAAATTCTTACCCCTTAATTGGCAAGCTTTATTTTGGAATGTTTTAAGTTCCAATCCTATAATTTTCTTAATTTCTTATTAGAGTATTGCATGGCATTTCGTCTTAAACGTTTTTTTTATACGCGGGGTTTTCCTATCAAAGTACGAAGCTAATGCCGAAGCGTCCATAACGAAGTAACGTCGTTGGAAAATACGTTTGAAATATACTTTGTAAATATGCGGTATGTATTACTTTTTTTTTTTTCTTTTTTTTTTTTGTGTGTGTGTTTGAACATATACGTCGTCATCGTCGTCATTGTCGTCGTCATTGTCGTCGTCTTTTCTTCTTGTTCCGACTGTGACAACGTTATTAACGAGAGGGAAAGAAAGAAGAAGGATGTAACTCTTATTTACGAATGTGTGTAATAATAATAAGTGCGTGTGTGAGAGCGTGTGCTTGTTCGTTTGTAGTTTTGTCGTGTCTCTTCATGTATATGTGTGTGTATGTGTGCGTTCGTACGCTTCTAATGACAAATGACAAAGTTTTTAAAAGATGATATTGTTTAATGATGTGTATGTGTATTTGCGCACGTGTAGTGGCGCATGTGTAGTGATGGTGGTAGGTGAAATCGAAAGATGAAATAAAATAAAAATGTCGTAAAACCCCTTCCCCCTTGTTAAGGGTAAAGCACACATGTCTTAGGTGCGAAAATTGCTCGTCGTATTTTGTTTAATCGTTATAATAGTTTTGATATATTTACACACGTTCCCGCGTATTTGGACTCGCTATAAACACAACTTATTTTGTTCCTAAACACATCGCGCATAGATATTTTAGATACGCGTCTCGACGATAGATAATAAGTTTCGTTTATAAGACTCGATTATAATTGACGTTCAATATTTTTTTGTTTTTCTTTTTTTTTTTTTCTTTCTTTCTTCGATTGCGGTATTATTACATGTACAATGCGCCCTAGGTGCGCGACATCGTCGTGTAATGTTGTTGTTTTGTTTTTGTGGCTTTTTTATTATTATTATTATTATTATTATTATTATTATTATTATTTTCTTTTCTTGTTTTGTTTAACTTCACAATACGTATTAGTACCTAAAAATAAGAATAGAAAAAGAAAAAATAGGAATAAGAACGTTGTTTTTTTAGTGAGGCACTCTCAGACGGAGCTTAGAGAAACGCAAGTTAAGCGAAGGAAAAATGGCGTCTCGATAAATTCAAAGGAGACATTTATTTCTCTCTCTCTCTCAAAGGCAACTAACTTGTTTTTTTTTTTCTTTTTTTTTTTTTCTTGGTTCAATGTGGACGTTTGATGTTGTTAACTTTGATCTTTTTATATAATTGTTACTTCTTTTTCTTCTTCTTCTTCTTCTTCTTCTATTTATTTATTTATTTATTTATTTATTTAACCGGAATTGTTGTTATCTTTACGTGGACGTCTTATTTGAAATTGTTCTTTCTTTCTTTCTTTCTTTCTTTCTTTTTGTGTGTGTGTGTTTTTTTCTTTCTCTTATATTTGGACTCTTTCATTTCTTTTTTTTTTTTTTTTATTTATTCTCCTTCCCTATATCATATATGAAACATACCGCCGTTCATTTCACAATTAATTATTGATCCTGGTTTTATATATTTTCTAGTAACGTTTCCCGACAATGTCACTTCGATGTGGACGACGTGCGACTTAAGCCCTTAAAATAGATAAAACACGTTCGCAAACTTATCGATAGTGTGTTTCCTCGTATTACAAGTAATATTTTATTCTTTCTTATTTTCTCCTATATTTTCTTTATACTTTTCATTTTATTTCCTCCTTTTTTTGTTTTTTTATTCTTGTTAGAAGATAATTTCATGTGTTAATCTTTCTTCTTCTTCTTCTTGTCTCTTAAGAAATAGTGAATTCTAATATATATATATATATATATATTGTTCGTTTACACTCTTTTTCTTTCTTTCTTTTTTCTTTTTTCTTTCTCCTAAAGTGCGAAACACGGCAAATTACAAAATCACAGAGAATTACGCGTCGTTATACTAGTATTTTTGTTTTATCAGAGATAATTACCTACTTTCACAAATGGACTATTATAATATATGTATACTCTACAAACGTTTTTTTTTTTTTTTTATCTAGGCCTGCTGTTGTTTTTTGTGTTTTTTTTTTAGTTTTTGTCGTCTACGAGATCTTCATCCGTTTGTTAATTGTTTATTTTTCTTCTTCTCTCGCGTAATCGTGTGTAGCGCGATTTAGAAAGAGATGTTGAATTGGTGAATTACGATATGAAGAAGCTCGCGGCACGTACTTGGGGCTCCACGTTCTCCAATATGGCATACAACTAGCGATTATGTGACAGAGGTTTTACTTCTTCTGTGAATTTTCTACTAAACTTGGCGTTGGTTAGGTTAAAAAAAGTAGCCCTTTCGTTTTGTTAGATTTTTCAAGCCAATCAGTTGACATTTTTGTCTCCGATAGTTCCACCCTCGGTATTATTGACATATTACGAAATCGTATCAAACAAAATCATAGTTACATTTAATATCGTTTAACTTTTTTGAGAAAACTTCTTTTGAATTTGTTTTTTGTTTTTTTTTTTTTTTGAACGTTTTCATTGCAACATTGTAAATCTGTTTTTTAAATCTTTAGCGTCAAAGATACGTTTATCATTTCGTAACAATAATATATTTACAGCACTATTCGTGAATTTTTACAAGTATGATAAGTAGGAAAATTCAAACGCACCTTTGATCGCTTCATTTTCTTGTTAATCTTGACGTCTTTTTTTTTTTTTTTTTTGCGTTGACGTCTCGCGTTTATTAACGGTCTCGTGTAGTTTTTCATTTCTTTTGTTGGCCTTTTTTTAAAAATTACTTTTAAATACATACATATATATGTATATATATATATATATGTTCTCTTTTAATGACATTTTTGTTATTGCAGTCAGGATACTTTGTTAAGAGATAAAATATAATTAAAGATGTAATTACAAAGTAAAATAATATAATACGTTATCATACAGAGAGATGAAATATATATATATATATATATGTATGTATAATATAGAGACAAAAGTGTGCGTAGGCACGTGCGTCAACGTGCGATTAAAAAGGCAACAACACGTAGAACAAAGTCACAGAAGAAGTTGACAGAATCAAAAGTTGATTGACAGAATTGCGGTCGACGTGACGTGACGTTGTTGCTGATTGGAGTATTGGGTCTTTTTCTCATTGACAATTATTTATGAACTAATTTTTGGACGAGAGAATAAAATAGAAAAGGCGCTAGGAACCGATCGCTAAAAAGACTATTGGCATGGCGTATCACTACATGTAGACCGTTTTCACCTAATCGTAAAGGTTATCGTCCAGTAATCGGCACATAAACTGATGATAATAGCGTCTTTGATTTCGCAGGAAAAAGACCCAGATTTTAGCGAGGAGCCATTAGTATCTCTCCGTGTGCTAGTATAATGAGTGTCGTCATTGATACGAGTCCTTGTGGAAGGTATCGCTCTTGTGGAAGACTCTACGTCCTTCCCTCGTAAGCTCTTGACTTGCAAAATTGTTTTCGGACTTTGGCCTCGGTAGAAGACACGTTGGCATCGTACGGAGTTCCATGCTATGCACCTGCGAAACAAAATTCAAGTTTGTGATATCATCGTTTCTATTAGGCTTACCGTTTCTACTAGCAACGCTAGCATTTTACCTACACATATGTATGAACGTATATAACTAAAAGGGAAGTAATATAATATTTACCGATTCTTCGCTGGCACTGGCATGCGCTGCCTGTTCCGCGAGCGCATTCACCACTGCGTTTATCGTTTTTGATTCGCTGCCAAGATCCTCTTCCCGGTGCCCGACCAAGTTAGGATTCTTACCGATTTTGTTTAACCTATAAGGAGAGCATAATTAAGCGTAGGGAATGTCGCACATCTCACCAACCATTGATAATCCACATTTGCTTACCAAACGTTTAGCTGAACAGGTCTGTCACGCTATACAAAAGTTATGACTAACGTGCGATTAGCACTTATCAAATATAGCTTACTTGCACCGCTAAACGTTTCAATGTGACATATAAGAACTGGATAAAGAAAAGATCCAACAGTTATGAAACAGTTATCACTGGATATCGACGATCTTTTAAAAGATACTATGTGTTATTTTGATCTCGTATTATTTTAATAATATTGCATTAACAATATTTTTTCATTATCGTCGAATTATCGTCGATCTCCCGTGCGAACCGTCGCAAAACCGAAAGTGCAACTGATTTATAAAATATGTTGCGGAAAATTATGAATACAACATTACCATGTAGTGAATGTGTCGAGAGTGTAAAAGTATTTTTCTGTTTTGAATAAATAAATATATCTCTTAAAGTTCTTTATCTCTCAAACAAAAGAGAGTTTAATATAAATTAATATACTCTGTCGATATTTTATTATACATATACTACTAATTCTATGTTTGTGTAAATTCGAGTCCACGTATATTTTATAATCAAAAATAATTTCGCGAGTAGTGTGTTTGATCCGTGAATACTCATTGAACTCTCTCAACTCATTATTAATAATTTCTATATTATACGTTCAAAGTTAGTGCGCTTTTTCGTTATTAATCGATCACAAATCCCCTCCCCATTTCTGCACTGTCTCTTTACAATCATTCAAGTTAAATGTAAATCGCGTAATGTATTTTTATATAGTAACGATATACAACAACGAGCGTATTAAAAAACGCATTAAATTTATTAAAGTGTATATCGTAAAGTTTTCAGTGTTTTGTGTAAATAAGAAGCGATCGCGCGTTGAGTACAGCACATTTGAAATTTAGATAAGTAGGTAAAATGAATGAAAAGAAAAATACAAATAAATAGACAGACAGACAGACAGATAGACAGATAGAGATAGAGAGAGAGAGAGAGAGAGAGAGAGAGAAAGAGACAAAGAAAAAGAGAGAAAAAGGAAGAAAGAAAGAAAGAGAAAGAATAGTCTAAATAAAAATATTCATCTCCAACTTGGTAAAAGTAAACAAGAAAAATAAAATAAACTGTAAAAAGCTGTACGCATATATATATGAGAACGAATATGGTTTCAACGGTAAACGATGAAATAGTATTACTGATTGAATCGGACAGTACATAATGTTCGAAAAGAAAGTAATGAAAGTGGGAGTGATGATTGACACCTATTAGCACACCAACTCGATAGAACAAACCTAACCAAAGTTTATACCTCTCGGCGGCAACGCTTTCCATGGTTCTACGCATAAGTGGATACTGATCCAATACGGCGTTGAAATGATCCACCGAGAGGCTGAAGAGGTTGCAATAGGTTTCCGCCCTGACCGAGGCCACTCTCCTTGCGTTAGTCAGCAAACAAATTTCTCCAAAATAAGAACCGTCTGACAAGGAAGTAGCCACTTCGCCATTTGCCATAACAATATCGACAATGCCTTCTTGTATGAAGTACATTTTCGAGCCGATGGTACCTTCCTTTATAATAATGTCACCTAAAATAATAGAATAAATATCAGCGTTAGATTCGTTGCGGTAGTAGTTCGTACGTGAGAAACGGTCACGGTCGGAGCTCGAATAGTCAGTCGATCGATAAATACCTGGTTGGAAGACCTCGTATCTCAATTTGGTGACCACATCCGAGACAAAGTTTGAATCGGCGTTAGCAAAAAATGGCACAGAGGCGACGAGCGATCTGCAGTTGTAGTTTATTACGTCCTAATCGACGAGAATACACAAGTGTGTTAATAAATTTTATAATTCCATCTCATCTAGATTTTTTTCTATGTTTATATTATATTCTTCGAGTAGAATATGTCAATAGAAAATATATTAAAGTCCGTTACTCGAGTTATATGTATAGATTTTATAATTGTTTTATTAGTTATACGAACTAAAACAAAAAAGAAAAATAAGAGGAAGAAAGTGACAATTAATAATCGTACTTCTCTGAGTTTTTCCGATAGTTCGCCAAGTATCAATTCTTCGTCGAAAAATTTGCCTTGGTATCGATGCTCGAAATATTCGGTAATTCTCTGCCTCATTTCCCGCGGTAGTTTGCGATAGGCCATGTATTCTTCCACTTGTTTCACCTATATGAAAAGAAGAACAGACGAACGGGAGAAGAAAGAGAGAAGACAAATAAAAATCGAGAAAAATAGGGGGAGGGAGGGAAGGAGGAGGAGGGGGGGGGGAATGGAAATGCCTATGAATGTCAGCTAAGGGGGGACCACCATTTTGATATCTTGGAAAGCGGATTCGAACGACCTAATTACCTTTTCACGGTATTGTCTTCTCGAGGAATCAAGAGACTGAATAAGATTCGTCGCATGTCCCAGGAAAAGCGCGTAACAAGTAGCACCGCTGATCATACTGAGCATCGTAAGCCACATGTCCGTTAACGATTGCGGCGGAAATCTACCATAACCTATGCACAACATATGCGACATCGCTTTGAAGAGGGCCCAGGAATATTGCTCGAGCCAAAACGAGTCCTGCAAAAAAAAAGTTTTTCTTCGAGAGTATTTCAGGCATCTTTATCTTCTCGACATATATCTCGAATGAATTTAAATCAAATTTGTTTTCTATACGATACGAGAAATATGAAAATGATTTTGTGCATGCACATTCTCTATCTATATATATATATATATATATATGTATAATGAATAAATATTGATAGGAGGAAAATATCAGATAATGAAATGAATTGAAAACTCACTTGCAATTCGTTAATGGCGACCCATGAATTACTGGGAAATCCTTGAAGCATGGGTACGAGAAATTGCAAACAACCACTCCAGTGGCCGATCAGTAGCATCATGCAGATCAGGTTAAAAATCCGCATGAACACCGACGCCATATTCAGGAACTGCCAACAACAATGATCGAGCTTTATTTCTACCGTTGATTTTGTGCTAATCGAAAAAAAATCTTTCTCTCGCCGCGCTCTTTTTTTTCCTTTTTTTTTTCTTTTTTCTTTTTTTTTTTTTTTGAAGTTCAAATCTTTTCTCGTCAACACGAAGCTCCTTTCTCTCGCGTAAAAAGTGTACACAGCAAAGAAAAAAAAACAAGCAGAGTGTTGCACGAAAACGCCTCGTTTGGATAGAATTGACTCGAATAATTGTTACATATAACTTTTTTTTTTCTCTCTCTCTATCTCTCTCTCTCTCTCTCCATTACTTTTAATTTGTATCGATCAATGCGAGAAGATTAAAACAAAAAAAAAAAATATTTTGAAATAAACTACGCGACAATTATTAATCATTAAAGGTCCGACGAAAAAAGCTTTCAAAGTTCAAACGTTGGAAACGATGTTCACATTCAACGATGTAATCACATCAGTTATGTATGTATTTTAAAAATAATTAGTCGGACTTTAATGGCGTTTAAATTCAGAGGCAAACGAAGTATCTTCTTTTTTTTTTATTTTTTATATTTTCTCGTTGCTCTTGGAAGAGGTTTTTTTTTTTTTAGTTGCACTCCCTATTGGTATGTTTGTTACTTTTTTTTGTTGAAAAAAAAAAAGAAAAGCATGCTTACATTAATTAAAAGATACGCATCACGTGGCACACAAAAGAATAAATTCAATGTAGTAACTAACATGTTGATAATAATAATGATAATAATAATAATAATAATAATTTGTTCTACTAATGCTCTATAACAAAACAATGTTCCAATCATCTGCAATGTTTGGTTCAAGATTCTCAGACCGCTTATGCGCCCGATTACGATCGACACGATCTTCCTTATAATTATAAGTAATAAATATTACATATGTAACTTCTTGTGTATTGTGTGTGTGCTTTAAACGAGCATCGTTATTAAAAGCTCGATTAGAAAATCACTTACACAAGTATGTATAACTAATGTATGAATAAAGTAGGATAATAATATAAAGCTATAGGAAAACGCAGAGATCGTAAATCGTTTCGCTCCGTAATTCGTTCGTATGTATGAACACAAACCGGGCTTGAATTATGGACACGACACATTTAAAAAGCGTTACGGGGTAATAATGTCTAACGGGAAGTAACGAAAAACAAAATAGAAAAAAAAAAACAAAAATGAAAAAGAACAAGAAATAATATAAATAATAATAAATAGAAAAAACGTTCACTCGCAAAAATCATAAATCAGATTCAAGCTTGTTCGATGCAACAACAACAAAAAAAAAACAATAATTTCATATCAAGCAAATAATACAAAAATACGTGTTTGTTGTATGCACAAATACGATCTACTTATCGTATCATTTTTTTTTTTTTTGTAGTAATATGAATTAACGAGAGACCGCTATAGTTTGTTTGTTTGTTTGTTTGAATGATTTTTTTTTTTTGGTTGGTCTATTTAGGGATCCTATAGGAGGGATGCGCCATGTACATTGCTAGGCTGAAAATGTGTGGGGACAGCTTCCGTTGCATAGCGCAGCCATGTTTAACTTTAGTATGTATTAACGGCTGTGGTTAGTTTAAGTTTGGAATACTTATAGTTTTTATTGTGATATTTATATTTAATTGTTCTTTTTTTTTTTTTTTTAGTTTTCTATAAGTGTAAGTTTAATTTACTGATGTAATAATTACAAGTGTATAAATGTACAAAGCTAACCTATAACTTATCGTTTGAATCATTCGCGCACAATCACGTGACTACACGAGTTTCTGTCCCCCAGCAATGGCGCGTCCCTCCTATAGGGTCTCTAAGTCTATTATGCTTCAGAATGACTGTAAATAATAATAATAATAATAACAATAAAAAAAAATCGATCGAGAGATGAAAGAAGAAAGGCGCTTCGTTGAAAAGAGAAAAATCGAAATATCTGGTTGTTTGATATTTAGAGAGAGAGTTACACGAAAAAATTAGCTGCCCGTTCTGTTCTTCTCGCGATAGATCGAAAAGAGAGAGATGATTAAATTAAACTCTCTGAGCTTTAATAAATAACATAAAAAGCTAATAATCCATCCACGTAGCAAGTAACGTTAATTTCTCGGTATGTCGTTTAATTAACGTTTCGTCTTACGTGGGTAGGAACCATCGAGGAGTTCACTTTTCTATGGTTGACGTAATCATTATCGTGTATAATCATCTATTTTTTAAAAAGATGATTGTGTTTTTTTTTTTATTAATCGAGTATTATATTACAATCTCCAGAATGTCGCTCCTGTCCATCAGATAATTTTAATATTTATTAATTCATTGAAATTATTTAGTTTTTTTCATAATCGATACTTTTGAATAAATATTTCGACTAAAATCTAATAAGAAGAATTTTAATAATAAATATATATTATTCTACGTCAACCATGACGTCATAGCTAAAAAAAAACACAATTATTTATTGAATTCAATATATGTGTGAAAATATATTATTCATACGAAAGCTTTCATTTGTGTGTTGTATATCAAAAATACATTCCTACTCTTTCCAATTCAAAATGAAATTGCGCACAATTGATTTGCAATTGGATCTCTGGTGATTAAACTTTGACTTCTTTAATACTTACTTAAAAAGACTATATAAGTTTTTATAATTTTAAATTAGATTTAAATATGTTGAAAAAATTACCAAAGTTGAATAATTGAGAAACATGACACAAGTTGTAAAAAAAGGTCTGGGTCCTCTGGACCAAGTGTGGTAAGCAACGGTTAATTTAGTAGTTCCTTTTTCTAAATTTTCATTTCCAAATAAAGTGATATCTTAAAATGTAAAGAACAATTATATACAAAATTTCATTTTGAACGATAACAAAATCGTAGGAATTTTGATTAATCCTCTCGTTACAAGCGACCCCCATTATTCAGGAGTCGTATGATAAATGAAGATACGCCTGTACGATTTCATGACACACAAACGATAATCTCGCGAATGCATGTCGTAACGAAAGGATTAAAAACATGACGGATACACAAATGAAAACTTTAACGTATAAATTATGGAGAATAGAGGTTAGGAGTAACATCTCTTATGGGAGAAAATGTGAAAAAAAGTGTCCAGCGTTTTCTACAAATAATAGTTCAAAAATTTTTCAGAATGGCGCTGGTGAACTTAGAAGGTATGGTATGAATGTAGCAATTGTAAACGAATTGAAGTATGCCGAGTTATGTAATAATGTAATAAATATAACCTTAAAGAATTATTATGAAAAAACGTGTAGCTAAAGTGATTGTTATTTCGTTAACTGTGAATATAGTACGTTCATTGATTTTTTTATCATTTAATTTAATAAAAAAGTATGTGAATAATAACAAAACAGTTATGGGTAAAATGTTGTGTTGTGAAATTAGTGTTTCTTTGTTTATTTCTCAATCGTACTCTAATAATATTTGGCGCTTTCTTTAAAATGTACCCTGAAGCTACTGTGGCGCCACCCTAATTGAATGCATTTCGACGGACACTTTTCATATACAGAGATGTTACTCCTTACCTCTACCCCCTCCATAATATAAATATAAATAATAATAATATGAAAAAGAACGAAAAGCGACACTCCCCTCTCTACCTCCTTAATTTCGTCACACTATTATCTATATCACTATGAAAAATAAGAAAGAAAAAGAAAAGAAAAAAAGAAAATATACATCAGCTACGTAAAATGGCGAAGTATGAAGCTAGTTGAAAAAAAAAAAA